AAAAAACCCAGAAAAGGTTGGCTCTGGATTCAGGATGTACAAAAATTATCCCCCCAAATCCCCCAAATTCTGAAAAACAGAAATAGTTTAAGGGACAAACCAGGTTCTACAATGGACCCATACCACACAAAATTCCAGTAGGCAAAAAGCCACAGGTTTTGTCCCCCCCACTGGTGTTGGGCCAGGGCCACTGGGGCAGGCCCCAGGGAGCTGAGAGCCCCTTCACCGGGCCTGGTGGTCTGTCCTGAAGGGCCCCTCCCCAGCCCCAACCTCGCCCTCCAGGGAGATCCACGCTCATCCTAGGACCACAAACCCAGCTCTACTCTGGGATCCTGACTGTGGGCCACTTCCCACCACCTGGGAGGTCCCCGCCAGCCCTACACACACACCCACACACCCACCCACACACTGCCTCCCCACCCCCAACCCCACAGCTGCTGCTCCCATGTCACTTTCTCCAGGAAGCCTTCCCGGGCAGACTAGGGAACTCACCAAAGCCGCCCCCTTGAAGCTCTCATCACTCCCTGTCTTGACCTGCACGAAAGGCCAGTACCATCTGCAGTTTCCAGCCCTGGGCCCCATAAGCAGCTTCCTTTCCCTCCGCCTGCTGCTGGGGGTGAGCCAAGAAGCCTCCGTGCCCCTTCTCCTCAGATCCTCATGAGAACACTGAGGGCCAGAGAGGAGAGGCTGCCTGTCCACACAGGCGGTGGAGGGGGGTGGCTGGGATTCAAATCCTGCCCTCAGCTGGAAATGGGGGTGTGAGAAATTAGGGGGTGTCCTTGGGCTCCCCTTCTGACTTTCTCTCCAAGGAGAGGTGCCAGGAGAGGGGCTTCCTCGTTCACAGGCCACCTCCCAGGTCTGCTGGGTCCCGTGACCACAAGCCACAGGGGTGCAGCCTCCCCGGCCCCAGCCCAGGGCTCCTCCTGGGAATTTACTTTGCAAATGTAAATATTTGCTGCTGTTGGCCTGAGCCGGGATTGAGGTCAGGGCTGTGGCCAGCCGGGAGCTCCAGGAATCCTCTGGCAGGCCTCTGGGAAGCCTTGTCTGTGTCCAGCCTGGCCCCCCCTTTGGGTGAGATGAGGTTCCCATTCGTTTCCTGTGCACCCACTTTACACCAGGTCCGTGCCAGGCACTGGAGAGACGGGAGTAGTGATAACAGGGTGGGGGCCACCGTAGCCAGATGGGGGCACCAAGAAAGTCGCAGGCAGAGGGGACAGCCACTGCCCAAAGGACTCTGAATCTGCAAAGTAAAGCACAGGCTTGGCACTGAAAACTGGCATGTGGTTAGAGGGAGAAAGATGTGTGCAGGAAGCGCCCAGCCCTGGATGCAGGAGAGGCCAAGGGCCCAGGAAGGGCCTGGGCTGGAACCTTGAGTCTGCTCTTAAGCTGTTTTGCTGTGTGACCTTGGGCAAACTTCTTCCCTTGCTGGTTCCCCATCACGGAAGAGAAGGGCTGTGGGGATCTACAGATGGGGAAGAGACATGCGTTGAGAACAGTCGGGACAGTGAGGGGGAAACAGAGGCAGCCTGGCTCTAGGGGGCCCGTGAGAAGAAGGCGGCGAGAGATCCCCCAGCTCCTCTATCTTTCCATCTGGGAGGGGCTGGGGCTGAGAATGGCTTCTGCCAGCCTCAATGTGCCCCCACTGTCTGAACTCGCTCCCCCTGGAAGTCCTCAGCCAGCATGGCTGCAGAGGAAAGATCCCGGCTCCGGGCCAGACGGATGGGCTTTGAATTTGGCTGTGATCCCGAGCAAGATCCTCTTCCAGCCTCAGTTTCCACATCTGGACCTTCTGTACCATGACAAGATCGCATGACACAGGTGAGTACAAGTCACAGTACCTGGCACGGACAGAGGACAGTGGCAGCTTTCCTTCCTCTCATCATTACCACAGGAGGGTCTGAGGCAGGGGGACACCGCAGACCTCAGGCCAGAGCCCTGGGGAGAATCTCAACCATGATGCTTACTTGCTGTGTGACCTTATGTGAGACCCACACCCTCTCTGAGCCTCACTTTCATCATCTGGACAGTGGGGCTGACAGGCGAGAGATCTGTCTGCAGGGAGCCCCAGAGGCAGGGTGACATGGTGGCCACAGCAGCTCAGCTCTCAGCAGAACCCACCAGCCCAGGCTGCTCAGGGCCCATGTCCCAAGGCATGGAGGCACCGACAGAAGCTTGGTCAGGCAGGTCCCAGTCCTGGCTCTCAGGCATTGAGTGAGCCCAGGCCAGCCTCTTTCCCTCTCTGAGCCTCAGTTTCCCATCTGTAAAATGGGGCCCATTCTAGCCCCTTCCTCAAAGGTTGTCACGAACAGCAAGGAGACCATCCTCACTCATCATCTCAGTGAACATTCCCATTCTACAGATGGGAAAACCAGGTCTAAGAGCCATGAAGTCTGCCGGCCTCACGAACGTCAAGCCTGGAGACTGGAGGCCTGTTTGCGGAGCAGCTGATTGAGAAGTAGGGTCTCAGAGGTGGAAGGCAGGGTGGTCCCCAAGAGCCAACACAGAATCCCCAGCACAGGGGGCTGAAAGGGAGAGCAGGACATTTATTGAGCATCTACTATGTACAGGCGTGAGTCTCTAGTCCTCATGATAAGTTATGAGGTGAGCACTTTTCAGTCCCAGGTGGCTTCCAGATAGAGAGGAGGTTCAGAGAGGTGAAGTGACTTGTCCCAGGTCACACAGCAGAGCCGGATCCAGGGCTGGATGCTGGGATGATGGGTGTTGCCTCTCCTCCTTCAGCTCACCCCAGCTACTCTGGGCCCTGTCGCCCCTGGTGACGCAGCTCTACGGCCCCAGGGTCATGTCACAGCACTGGGCAGACCACGAGGGCGGTCACTGGCAGGGGAAACAGCTGGGGGAGCCTGACCTAAATCCGGCTGTCAGAGGAAGGGCAGGGCCCGGGATGGGCCAGCAATGTCCCCATGCTTCCCCAGCTCTTATTCCCAGGGCCCAATACAGCAGGTTTCCAGAATATCCAGGCCTGGGCATCCCTTTTCTCAGCTCCGACCCTGTGGGTGGGGAGAGGCCCCTCCGTCCCACGGGTCATCACGCAGTGCCCACCATGGGTGGCCACATCACCTGCAAGGTCTTTCCTGCTTCATTCCATCCTTGCAACATCCTGGGAGGCAGACTCTATTATCCCGCCCACTTCATAGATGCGGACACTGAGGCTCAGTGCGGGGGCGCCCCAGGCTGCTGCAGGTGCACACAGCAGCGCGGTGCCCTTTAGAGAAGATGCCCCTCCCTCTGGTGGGCGTGAGTCGAGCGCCACCTGAATTGCAGCCTCCCCACCCCCTAGTCCGGTGCCCTTGCACAATGACTTGCACAACGCACTGGGAGTCCCTGGCCCAAGGCCATGCAGCTGGTGTGTGGCAAGGCTGGCCTGGCCCATGAAGCCCTGGATACCCCCGTCCTCAGGTTGGGACCTGAAGGCCCCGCAGAGGGAGATGGCAAACGTCAGGGTTGGCCTGGCCCAGCCCCCGACTTGCATCCCTGCCTCACCATTGGCAGAGCCCCCAGCCCTTATCCTGGCTCCTGGACACATGGCCTCCAGCTGCTGGACTCAAGGGCATGGGCGCTGCCCCCACCTGTCCTCCCCCCTCACCCACTCTATGACCGCCCCATAGACCCAGGAAGGTCTGCCCTTGGGAGGGGAGCCAGGGACAGAGTGGCCTTTGTCTGGGCAGGTCCTGCCTGGGCTCAGGCTTACCAGGCCTAGGCAGCCCCCACACCCTGGGATTCACCCCTTCCCACTATCAGCTCCTCTGCGGCCTCCTTGGCAGCAGCTCCTCCTGGCGGGCTCTCCTCCTGCCCCTGGGGCCCTTTCACCTTCCCCTTTTCTTCCCAGCAGGGAGGGGAGGGTGCTGCTCCTGGTTCCTCTTCATGTCTGCCCCCTGCCCCCCAGCCTCCCACACCAGCCTTTAAGCCTGCCTCTCTGTACAGGACCCCTGTTAGGTGTCGGGGTGGCTCTCTTCTCCCTCTGGGTGTCTCGCTCCTCCCCGGCTCCAATGGGGACTCCTCCACCCCACATCAACACTCGCCAGGCCCCTCCTTGCCTCATTTTGTGGTGAGCTCTGCCCCCCATCCCGTGTAACTCAGGGCACATGGCCACCACTCTGGGCCTCTGTTGCCCCCTCTGCGAACCGGGGCTGTTGTGGGGTGCCAGGGAGGTGAAATGTGTAAATCTCTCGAGAAGCCCCTAGGAGGGGCGACTTCCGTTAGCATCGCGTTCCCTCGATTTGGAGGCTGTGTTTCACACGTTCATGTTTCTGGATTCAGAATGCGTCCTGTGGCTGATGTTCAGAACATACTGCCTCGGGGGCCCTGAACATCTCTTTCCATTGAGGCGCCGACAGGCCTGGTTCTCACGCTGGTCCTAGGCCAGGCCATCCTCTTTAGGGCCATTCTTGGGAACACAGCCCTTGGTGTCCAAAAACCTTCCTCTCACTAGGTTTAGCCAGCCAGTGAGGATGGGAGTGGCCTGGAACGCTCAGCAGAGGCAGGTGCCCGAGAGGACAGGGCTCTCTGAGTAACTGTGTGGCCAGGCTCCAGGGAGGCCGAGCTGCCTGCTCTGCGCCCCTGCTCGGTGCTCGGCCCTGCGCCACCCACAGTGCACACAGGGAAGGCGGGTAGGGTGAGAAGGGTCCCTCTGCCTGGGACATGCTCCACACACGCAGCGTCCAGGGGAGTCCTCCCATCTCTGAGACCCTGGGGGGAGCCAGGTAGACTGGGGTTCGAATCCTAACTGCCTCTTAGGAGCTATGTGCCCATCGCCTTCTTGAGCCTCAGTTTCCTCACCTGCAGGACGGGTATAATCACCCCGACCTTGACAACCCCCTGACCTATCTGTTACCTACCACATCAATATCCTGAGGGGTTTTCTCCAAGGTTGGAGGAAAGGCTTGGGATGGTGTGACTTAAGACATGAGCTACACAGCAGGTATGAAATTCCTCCAGGGGTCCTGAGAGGCCCCCAAGAAGCAGGCAGTCAACGCCCAGGGGACAGCAGGCACCAACTGGGTCTGAGCTGCACCTCACCAGCACCTCTACGCAGCGGACCCCAGTGCGCACGGCATCTACCAACTCAGCAACAGTTCACCGCTCCCTCCCGCGCACCCAGGGGAGACACCTGGCCTGCACCTCGGGGCAGTCCTACCTTCCTCGCAGCTCGGCCCCGAGTGCCCCGGGCAGCACCTCCACTCGCGGGCGGTCACTGTCTTGTACATCACCTTGTATGTGGGTCTCACCACGGTTCTGTAGCTGCAAGAGTGCCCAGGGGGCCAAGCTCAGACAGGGTCTTCCGTCGCCTCTCCCACTGTCCGTGGGGACAAACCCAGAGCCTCCAGGGTCCTCTGCCCCCTCCAGGCCCCTTTGGAGCCTCTCTCCTCCTGCATTCTGGGATTCAGCCCTTCCACTCCTTCCCAACCCCCCAGCCGGGGGTATCTGGGTATCAGCTGGACAGGAAGCCTCTGCACGCTGAGCTGGCCTGTCCCCAGCAGTGAAACTCACTGAGTGAAGGCATGTGGGTGAATGGTAGAATCCCTCCCCCGGGAAGCCCTCCAGGGTGCCCCAAGAGCACAAGGGGAGGTGCTGAGACTGGGCAGAGGGCCAATGCTCCCTTTGCCCCACCCACCCCTGGGGGCCTCGCCTTCCCCCGCACTCCCGATGCAGTCCCACTGCTAGGCCTCTGCCCACTGTGCACCTCCCCCTGCAACACCATCGCTCCTTCTCCACCCTGGTCTCACTCACCTGTTCCCCGGGCAGCTCATGGGCCAGGGGCAATTCTGCAGCACCCGCTGAAGGTAGGTGCCATTCTGCACGTGGCATGAGATGGTGCGGGTCACCACGTATGAGCACCAGTTCCTGAAACAGATCCAAAGTGAGGAAGCTCAGGTGCAAGGCGCAGCCCCCTGCCCAGGACCCCAGGAGGACAGGTGAGGAGGCCCGCCTTCTCTCCAGGAGCCCCGAGTCTCCAGGCAGAGAGTCCCCTGAGCTCTCAGAGTCCTTTGGGCCCCAGTGGGAGTCTCTGTGCTGCTGTGGCTGAGGAGCGAATTCCACAGCCCTAGAGGGGGGGACCGTGCACTCTCGGGAGGTCTTGGGGAATGAGCCGCGGGGGGCGAGATGGAAGCATGGCATCTCCAATGGGGGACTCCCCTCCTCAACATCTCTTCTCTCCAACCCTGACCTGTCCAGGTCACCACTGCCTCCCGCCTTCCATCTGGACAACAGCAGTGGCCCCTCCATCTCTCCCTAGAGATAAACGGAAACCTGGCCGTGTCCCTGCCTTGCCTACCCCCACCCTCAGCACTCGGGGTCTCCCGCGCCCACACCTGGATCCCTCACCTCCAGGCCTTTGCTCACACTGGGCCCGCTGCCCGGAGCACCCGCCCTCCAACTCTCCGCTCGGCACCTCTCCCCTTGTCCCTTTCCACCCCCACCCCAACCTGAGCAGAACTGATGGTTCCTGCCCTGGATCCGCACCACTGTGTATACCTGTCATGTTGAATTAAGCTGGTGACTCATGTCTGCCCCCTCCCTCCCCTGGCATGCGAAGGAGAGGCCCTGTCTCACTTGTCCTTGTGTCCCCTCTGTGTGACGGCCGGGATGCACAATCAATGTCTCAAGGGTAGAGGACTGACTTCTCCAGATGCCAACTAATAATCATATTGCGTTGCATATATTGAGCACCTACTGTATGCATCTTCTCACGGTGAGCCAGGAAGGCACCTCCCCCACCATTTTATAGAGGTGTAAACTGAGGCTCAGAGAGGGGAAGACAACTGCTCATGTCACAAGAGCTGGTGCGTGGTGGAGCTAGATTTAAACCCAGGAATGTGGATGGCGCTGCCTGGCCCCTGACTCCATCCCAGAGGCCTCAGCTCCCGTCTCCTCCCCATCTCCTGAGCCACGGTCCATGGCTCTGTGAAGGCCCCAGCCTGGGAACCTGCTGACCCTGGGCTTGAGGCCACAAAGGCACGTCTGGTGGGGTGGGGGGCTTGGGCTGAGACAGGTCACCTGAAACGGCCCTCCTTTCCCAGCTCTGGCAAAAAAATCGTGACCCTGTGCAGGGCTGAGGGCTGCTGAGCACCTGGAATGTCCCAGCCATCACAGAGGTGCCTGCCACCTCCGAAGTCCAGGCCCCCCAGCTGCCGCCCCGCCCCCACCCCAGAAGGAGAATGTCCTTGGCCAGGACCAGTGGACTAACTCGCTGTGGGACCCTGGGGAAGTCCCTTCACAGAATCAGTCCAGAAGGAGGAGACAGCCTTGCCAAAGGCATGGAGGTAGGAAAGCCAGGAGAAGGGATGGCTACGTTTGGCCCAATGACATGGCAGGAGCTCAAGAGAGCCCTTGGCCAGCCACCCCACGGCAGAGATGATAGGTGCTTATTACAGCACCATTGGGAACAGCAAAAAACTGGGAACAGCCTAAATGAGACCACTAGATGCAGAGAACCAGACACTGTGGCAGAGCCCAAGGTCTCCACGTGTAGACCTCTGGGCCTGGTGACAGAGAAAAAACCACGTGCAGACCGATAGAGAATGACTGCATTTCTATTAAAATAAGAAAGGAAGAGAAAGCCAAAAGACTATTTATACACGGATGCACATATATAGCTATGTGTGCATAAAGTTAGGGAAAACCACATGATCACATCAAATTACCACCTCTGGGGGCAGGGATGTGTTTTCCATCCCCTCTGTCTCCTGCGCTAACAGCAACCACCGGTTACCATGCTTGCTGCCTGCCAGGAGCTGCGCCCAGGGCCCTCTACACCCAGATTATGAGCCACTTTACAGATGGGAAGACTGAGGCTCTTGGGTCTGGGACATGCCCTGGGCACCCAAGATAAGCAACACAGTCACGATTGGAATTCAGGTCCATCTGACCCCAGAGCCTGCAGCCTTAATCTTAGGCTGGAAATGCTTCTACTAATGAGCAGGTGAGGATTTTATGTTTAAAAAGATACATTTCAAAAAGGCCCCCACCCTTTAGAGCGTCTGGGTCCCTAGAGCTGTGGTTTTGAACCTGTCAGGGTTTTGTTTGAGGGGGACATAAGCCCTTTTGGGAAACTGATGTGAGTTGTGCCTCCTCCCCAGAAAAATACATAAAACTTGGGGTACAATTTCAGGGTGGCTTGGGGGTGTCCCTGCAGCCTGTGTGACATCCCCTAGGCTGCCCAGGGGCTCTGAGAGGGAAGGAAGGAGCAAGGGAACAATCTGAGTAGGGGATAGTCAGAGCTGTCCAGACACAGGAGGGGGCCCCTGGGCACGGAAGGAAGGCTCCACGCCAGTGTACAGATGCACACACAACACACACACGCAAATGCACGCACACACATCAATACGCACACACAGTGAGCACACACGCACATGGACACACTCATATGTGCATACAACTCCTGGACACACCTGTGCCCATGTGCACACACACAGACCCACATAAGCGCACACACACACACACACACTCAAGCACAATCAGACTAAGGCAAATCCGGCAGGACATGAAGCCACAGAAATGCCGTCCTCTCTGCACTCAGGTCCACACCTGCAGACACAGCGCCATGCGCCCTTACACACACATGTGTGCACACCCCCACATGCCCAGCCCCTGACCTGGGCTTGGGGAGGTGGGCCTGTGACTGCCCACAATTGCCCGAGCTGTCCCTCTTTTTACCAGGGCGGAGCTAGGGATGATTTTCTTCTCCTTCCTGAATTAAAATCTCCCCCACGTGGGTCACTGCCTGGCCCCCTGGTTTATTTCCCACGTGCTGGAGTTTGCCTGAATCCTCTGCTTTGGAGACACAGAGCTGATGGCCGGCTAGACAGGAGGGGACACTCAGGCCAGGTAGGGTTCAAGGTCAGTCCCTCACCCCTTCCATGTGGGGGGGTCACCAATAACCATGCCCTGCCCCTCCCTGGCCTTGAAGACCCCAGCGCCCCTGCCCCCAGGATAAGCCCGAACTCCTCTGCAGGGTCCTGGCCTGGTCCTGCCACCTTCTAACCTCTCTGTCCACTTTCCAGGGGCAGCAGGAGCTCTTTCTAAAGCACAGACCTAAAGTTGCCACTGCTGGCCTGGAGTCTGCAGCCCACGCCGGCTCCCCATCGCCCTGCGAGCCCTGACTGCCCTGTCCTGAATGCTGCTCCCCTGTCCTGCACAGCAACACTCACGCTGCCCCCCTTCGACCTTCCTGCCCTCCCTCCCACGCGCCCTGTTCTCCCCCACCTCAGATCTTTGCATACGAGATTCTCTCTGCCTGGAAAGCCCCTTCCCCCACTCCAGCAAACTCCAACTCATCCTTTAGGTCTCAGTCCTGAGGCCCCAGGAGGGGTCGGGCACCTCCAGGGGGCCCCCTCAACCCCTCATAACAGCCCATAGCTTTTCCCTCCCAACAGATGCTGGGGGACGGTATTGGCAGGGACCAAGCCAAGAGGCTCAGCCCAAGGGTGCTCGGGGAGGTTTGCTGAATGACTGAATGACTGAGAAGAGACAGCGGCCCTGGGCAGAGGAGCCAAGACCCAGGTTTCCAGACATGGGCGCAGTACTTGGAAGGACCGCCTCCACCCTGCTGCCCCTGGGGGCTTCCTTTCCCAGCTTGTGGTCTGCGATAAGCTGCCCAAGAAGCCCGGTGTAGCTGAGCCACCTCCTGCAGGACCGGCCTAGGGCAGGGGCTGGGAGGAGCAGCACTTCCCTCCTGGGTCTGCCCCTTCTGCCCACTCAGCAGCTCCTGGGCCCCCAGAGGCCGGCGGAAGGAGAGAAAACAGGCCAGACCAGCTCCGCCTGGCACCGGCCCCCCACACTAGGGCCCCCCACCTGCCCTCCACTCCCTGCCACAAGGGGCCCAGGGGACTTTGTCTCTGCAGGGCCCAGGGCTGCCAGCCGGAACAGTGATAGGGCTAATTGCAGGAGGCAGCCAAGCGGGCTGTGGGCCAAGGGCCGTTATGGAAAGGAGAGGGGAGGAAAGAAAAGAGACATACGGCGGTGGGGGGGTGACTAGGCCAGAACCCCACTCTGGGGGCCGAGTTCCAGTCCTAGCTCTGCTGCTTCCTAACTCGGCGACCTTGGACAAGGCCTGACCCTATCTGGGCCTCACTTTGTCCATCTGCAAATGGGGACAGCAGAATCTCTTCCGGCGGTGGAGGTTTCAGCAACCCACTTAGCACAGTGCCAACAGCTGTCGGTAATTCTCGTTCCTGGACTGTGGCACGGGCCCCTCACCCCACAGCTGTGGTCCAGGGGCTTCCACACACGAGGTCCTCCCCTCAACTGCAGGATAGGAATTGTCAGGCTCTGCATTTTACAGAGGGGGAAACTGAAGCTCTGAGAGAAATCACCTGCCCAGGTCACCCACACGGGTGTAGAGCTGGGATTTGAGCTCCCGAGAGAGGGGCTGGGGAAGAGAATTCTCCGCTCTCCACTGATCCTAGGATTTGCCCAGAGGAAGCCAGTCTTGCAGGGGGAAGGGGCCTGGGCCAGGACCCCAGTGATGGCTTCAACTCTACAGCCACAGTGCTGAGACGGGTCGTTAAAGGAAAAAGAGGTTCAGGCTGGAAGGGACCTCAGAGCGGCAGGAAGCAGCCCCAGCAGGGACTGGGGGGTGGACAGGGGCAGGGGCGAGCCAAGGCTGCTCTGCACAGCCCCCGGGCACCCTGGTTCCAGGGGTCTCAAAGTCTCGCCACATTCCTCGGGCTGGGGGCGGCCCCTTGGATGCCTTCCCAGGCCTCCCCCTCCCCAGGCACAAAGCCTCTTTTCTGCCACTGGTCCCTCAGCTGCCAAAGGGCACCTGGGGCGCCGGGCTGGGGGTGGAGGGAGAGCTGATGGGGTGTGACATCCCCATGCTGTCTCCAGTGATGCCACGGGGACGGGGCCACAAGGGGAGGTAGCTGAGGACCACAGATTCCTCCAGCTAGGGGTCCCTTCCTCCACCTAATGTTGGTGATACAGGAACAACTGAATGTCAGGCCCCACGCTGGTCCTTCCCATGGGACGCCATCCACCCTCAGAGCAGGCCTGTGAGCAGGGGACAAGGGGAAGAAAGAGGGAAACAGCGAGGAAACTGAGACCCAGGGCTGTGAAGTGACCTGCTTGAGGTCGCACATCAAGTGGTGACAGAGCCAGAGCCAGAGGGCCAGGGTCTGGTCCTAACCAAGACATGCAAACCTCTCCCAGACCCACAAGCTGACCACCTCTGCGGGGGTGAAAAGAACACAGGAAACTGGCTGGCCTGGACCGAGGTGCCACTTTTCCTCTCTAGGTCTCAGTCTTCTGATCTATAAAATGGGAGCAACAGCACTGCCCATAGGGCTTTTGTGATGCTCAGGCCACTGTGAGCCTTCTGTGAACAGATGGGGTGACAATCCTCAGTGACCACCAGATACCGGCCCATAGCCACCATCCTGCTCCCACCCAGGAAGCCCCGGTGGTGAGCAGCCCAGGCTGGGGGACGCTGCCGTGGATTGGCTGGAGGGCAGCCCGGACCTTAAGCCCTCTCAACCATCAATCTGAGCCTGACACTGGGAATTCTGAGTTCAGAGTCTCGGTCATCTTAGAACCCGGGACCCTGGGGGCTCACATCCATGACCTATGCAGGTCATATCCCTTCTCTGAGCCTCAGTTTCCCTTCTATGAAATGGGGGCCCTAAAAATGCATGCCTCCCATGGCAATCGGGAAGATTCTGGAGGTGATGGATGCAGGTAAAATGCTCAGCCCAGGTCAGCTGTGGTGAGCATACAGTAGATGATGGCTGTGACATCTGCCACCCGCCCGTCCCTGTCTCAGACAACTGCTCTTCTGGCCTCTGATGCCTCGGCCACCTCTGCCCTCCAGTGCTGCCCACGTCACCTGCTCTTGCTAGCCCAGCGGGGGCATGCTGGCCCCTGACCACTGGGAAAGGGGCATTTCTGAAAAGAAGTAAAGAATTGAGGCCGTAGGGGGTGGGGGTCAGGCAGGCCTTTGAATGGGATGAAAAGGCCTGGCTACTCCGTATTGTCTGCCTCAGACAACAGTGGCTGGCCCTGGAGAGTGGACCCCAGCAGGCGCAGGGGCTGCAGCCAGGACAGTGGCCGGGGCAGGTTCAAACACTGTCATCAAGGCCAGAAAGACACAGATTCAAATCCTAGCTCTTTTATTAACGGCCCATGAACCTAGAAGATTATGTTAATTCTCTGGGGCCTCAGTTTGCTCATCTGCTAAATGGGGACAGTGCCCCCTACCTCATTCAGTCTTTGAAGGATTAATGATGACACTGCACATAAAAGGCCCCCTCACAGGTACTAGAAGATGCTCCATAAACAGCAGAAGAGAGACTGTTCCCAGCTCCTGAGAGAGCGGCAGGAAGACGAGAATCCCTTGCCATATCTGTCCAAAATGCCAGGTCCCTGGGGGCTGACACTGACCCACGGGCAGAGAAACTCCACCCCAGTCTTCCTCGGAGGGAAATAAATAGCCCGGGTACTAAAAAAAGCCAGGAGCAGGGCAAAGGGAGAGGGGTCCCTGGAGCGACGGCTAGGGGGTGTCCTGGGCTTTTCCCATGTGCAGGGAGGGGCGCCCTTGGACTAGGGCGACGGAAGTCCTGGGGGGTTTCTCCCTCGTTGTGCCCCTTCCTCCTCCTCTCGGGCTCTGGAGGTGAAGTGGTCGGGGGTGGAGGAGGCTGTCGGGGGCTGCCGTCTCCAGACACCTGGTGTAGGGGACCCCCTGCACTGCCAAGAGCCTCTGCCAGATAGCGGGGCGGCCAGGGTCCCTGCCCCCACCCGGGCTGGCACTGCGCTGGAGGACTGGGTTCCCTTCCCAATCCCGGGCTTGCACGGAGGCTGGGGGTGCCTGGAGTCCCGGCTCCCAACCCGGGGCGGGCAGGACACAGAGGTGGTGGTGCGGGGCAGCCCTTACCTGCGCCCGGAGAACTGGGCTCCCCCGACGCTCCACGCGGCGCTGCCTCCGGGGAGCAGGAGCGCGAGGCAGAGCAGCGCCCAGGCCCGCGGGCCGCCCATGCTGCGCCCGGCGCCCTC